ATAATATTAATATTAATATTAAAACATTCCCAGCAAGTAATTCTAGATTTATGTCCTGCCGTGTGAATTTGCTTTTTACTAATAAGTTTCCCAGCAAATTGACTTTTTCACTACCCAAAAGCTGAAAATGCACGAACCCGAAAATGCTAGAAAAGTACAAAAACTAAGTTAACACAATGTAAGTGGAGAGAAACTTAAACATAAATTGTATTGTTAACCCATGGTGTTTTGATGAGACCCCTACTTGTGTCTAATCATTCCCTAAATATGGTCATTGCCTGTTGAGAGCTCTACTAGATGATTTACAGAAAATATCATATTCGCCATTGATATATTTGAAGGAGTTATACAATTTAGGATTTAATAAAGGGGTGTGATATCCACACATATCTTTTTACTTCTCACACACTTTTTTTAATTTTCAACCGTCAGATGACATGAAATGAAGTAGATCAAATGACAGAAGTTAACAAGAGGTGTGTGAAAAGTAAAAATAGATGTATGGACATCACACCCCTTTAATAAAACAGGTTGTTTAAATGGAATTTGAGTTTTTGTTGACTACTTTACGGATCAATTTGCTATGAGAATTAGGTGTTGACTTGAAAGACTATAACAAGTCTTCCTCTTTCGACGACAACTACTTCAGAACTCTTCAATTGCTATGACGATTACGTGTTGAATATAACAAGCCTTCATCTTTCTGCCCATAAAGAAAGTTAGAATCCTCTTTTTTTCTCTATCCTTAATTTTCGCGGGGTAATATTGTTCTCTTTTTTATCGTTTTCTTATCGCTAATGTCCTACACAGTTATGTGAACGATTTTGGGGGAATCAAACATGAAACTTCGGGTGGAAAGGTGACTGCTGGTAAACAACTAAGCTACATTCCCTTTCAACACCAATGATATTATTTTGTGACGGTGTTTGGTTCAGTTTTTTGTAGGCCATTGTAGATAATATAGAGAATCAATTTAAAACAGTAAAAGACACTTAAACAACCTAAGCCACACAACACCAAGAAGAACATGATCCTGCTGACACCAGATTTACCAAAGTTATCGTGGATTATGCTTTAGCATTTTGGAGTTATACTACTTAATTAGTCACAGAGCTATATTAATTTATGATCCATTTGAAGATGAAGAGCAATTATTATTAGCATATAATTAACGAACATCTAGATGTTTAAGAAAGGAAACAAGTCAAACAACATTAAGCAAGATTTTCATGAAGTGAAATTACTAGCTTATTATGACAATTTGGTAGATTAAGAGAGACCAATTAAGCTCGGTAAACTGAATTAGTGACAAGAAATTTTAGACTTATGTCTTTGTCATGTGAATCTGCTACCAACTTCACCTTTCCACTATCCAAAAACTGAAAATGCACCTAAACATGCTAAGAAAGTAAAAAAACAAAGTTAATGCGATGTATGTGGAGAGAAACTTAAACGCGAAAATTGTATTGTTCACCCATGATGTTATAATGCCGCCTCAACATGTGTCTAGTCATTCTCTAAATATAATCACTGCATGCCGAGAGCTCTAATGGATGGTTTATAGAAGATAGCAAAAAGGGAATTTGAGTTCTTGTAGTCTATAGGTCATATCGAACCATTCTCCCTTGGGAATGATTGGAAATTCTAGCCTACAGTCCTCATCAAAATCTTGGTTATTTATCATAATGCAAATAGTAATGCTCCTCCCTGGGCTCATGTATGCGAACACAATGCAGTACAAGGAGGTTCGTCGAAACCTGGTTATTAAGATTGATTGTAAGGGTGACGTGGTTGCTAATACAGTTGGGTGGCCGGAAAACGTGGCAATCATATGATTATTTTGAATTATGGTAGTATTTTAGTTGATTTTTTTATTGGTACCTAAACTAAAAGTTATGTTACTTAAATTAATAGTTGTATTGAAATTGGTATTTAAAAGATCCCCAAACACTTAAGTTTTTTTTTTTCAATGTATTCTTTAATAAAAGGCGAAAAAATAATTTAGTATAAATTATTTATTAAAAAATGCGAAGGACTAGTTCGCCATTATTTTAATTGCTCTGCAACTCTTATTTTAGTGCCAAACCAGCATGCAAGGATTGCAGAGGAAGAGGATAAAAAATTCTTTGGCAAAAAAGAAAAGAAAAACGTACACATTGTTCTTGCTGCTTTCAGTTGAACACAAAATTTACAGTAATAAACTACTAGTCTCTACTAAAATTTTATTATTTTGATAGACTATAGGAGCAAAAATTATTGTAAAAGTCTCATGATGAGAGAGACATAAATCTTATGAGCTAAAAAATTGAGATATGAAATTTTCTTCTCGTCCTATTTGGCACGAAAATATCACAAACAATTTCAAAGAAACTCATTGAAAGAACTGTATATATCCATGAACATTGGCAACATGTTGTGATAAGCAACTTCTTCTTGGACTGTAAGTTAGCAGACAAACTGAAGGAAAAATGTTCATCTGTAGCTAGCATCCAGCAATGTTAGAATATCACAAGGCATCCCGGAGAAAATCCCGAGTACACGCGACGTTTTTTTCTAGTCGAGGCTCGAAGTACAAGTACTAGCATTTCACTGAGCTCAACATTGTAATGAAAAAACACGAGAATATACAAACATAAAGCAACCAGCACACCATGTCACCATGGAGCTAACATCCTACGAAAAATGATAGAAAATAGATATCAGACAGAGAGGAAGAAGCTCAGAAAAAGGCAATTGAAACACAACTATTTAGACAACATAATAACCCAGTTAAAAGAAATCTATTTAGCCGTCAATGAAATCCTTGAGGAAATTTGTATATTCCCCATAAACACCATCAGGAAGCAATTTGTATATTCGCCACTCAAACAACGAACGAAAATAAAAAAACCAACAATACCTTTTATTCTATTACAATTCGAGCATCCAACCCGAAACCAATTGGCAACGGGCGGAGACGCCCGAGATCATTCAAACTATTTACGTAACACTTCAATTCTCAACATGGGATTCACACTCTCGAAACAATACCTGCTCCAAGAAGCTAACATCCTATGAAAAATGATAGAAAATAGATATCAGACAGAAAGGAAGAAGCTCAGAAAAGGCAATTGAAACACAACTATTTAGACAACATAAATCCATTTTTCACAAAGCACTTGGCCGACCACATAAGAACTCTAACCTTCCCCGACCACATAATAACCCAGTTAAAAGAAATCCATTTAGCCCTCAATGAAATCCTTGTTTTGGGCAAGGCAATAACAACAAAACCTCACCATCCAGCTAGTTCATGCATTCAAAGTCGGGATGAAGATCGCACACATACATACAGAACCATACAAACACATGACCATGAAATCTTAGGAAGTACACGATGCCATTAATATACTAAGCCATTAAAAGTAAATACAGTAACCAGTCATAAACACCATCGGGAAGCAATTTGTATATTCCCCACTCAAACAACGAACGATAATAAAAAAACAACAATACCTTTTATTCTATTACAATTCGAGCATCCAACCCGAAACCAATTGGCAACGGGTGGAGACGCCTGAGATCATTCAAACTATTTACGTAACACTTCAATTCTCGACATGGGATTCACACTCTCGAAACAATACCTGCTCCAAGAAGCAATATACTCTCAAAAATTTCAAATTGCTAATTTTGTAATAAACACAAAGAAAACTTGTCATTTTCTCACTAACCCTTTTCTGTTCATTTTCATTTTCACTATATTCCTAATTAAACAAAACTATAAATCAAACCGAAAAACTGAAATCTGCTCCTCTGAAGAATCCAAATTTTGCATCAAGTATATGTATTTACTTTAATAATGATAAAAACATAAAAATTAAAACTAAAAACATGAATTTTGCTAAGAAATTAATATAAAACCAATGCATCTGAGAGAATTACAATCAAGTCAATACAAATTAACGAATAAATCTAAATGAATTAGAGCTCAATCCAATCAAAAACCCAGCAAATAAGCATCGCAAAAATTAAATTTAAACAAAAACCAAATAAAGCCATACAAAAGATTAAGAATTTATATTCGGATTTAAGAAAGAGATTACGTACCGACATGAATTCGGTCAAAGAAGAAAGAACTTTTTTATTTTCCGGGAAAATGAAATGACTCGGAAAGCAAAGAGAGAGAGACGTTGGGCCAGAAATGGGCCTAAATCGCATTGTGAAATCTGGGAAAGAATATGAGGCTTTAACGGTTTTTGTTTCGGGTTGAACGGCGTTATTTTGCTGACGGAAACGGAAAGATGATTCGTATCGTCGTTAAGTCGGCGTCAGCCCTGACGTGGTTTGTGCATTTGGAATAAAATTGAGAGTCCAATAAAAAAATGGAAAATTGCAGAGACACAATCCTACATTAAATCCATGAATAAAATCGAACCAGTTTTTTCACAAATTCACTTTTTAGTACTGATGTATTACTACCCTCTATTTTCCTTAGAACTCAATTAAAACGCATAATCGTCACCAATGAATAGTGCATTTTTGAATAAGTGAAGAAAGCTTGGTATAACGATTTGATTTACCAAAATTTGTTGGCACATATTTTCTACTTTTAGGAAGACGACGTAGTAAAGGAAGTCATTTAGCGGTCATCATTCCACATCGGGAAACTAATTCCGACGTCAAAAAATGGTCAAGTCAGTATACCGAAACTAATGCAACTTTTTGAGAATCTAATCATCATTTAGAGACTAGAGACAACACAACTTCAACAACGAGCCCCTTGCATTTCCATTTCTTAATTGATTGCTTATTCTCGATGCATTAAATAAAATGCAATCCTCATAAGTCAAAATTTGCTAAAATAAAATAAAAGATCAGGTTTAAGTGGCCTGGTTAAAATCTTGCTGGGAAAAACTCCATACTTAGGAGAAAAGGTAGCACATTTATAAAGTTATCATAGCAATTGTTTACCTAAAAAAGAAAAAAAGAAAAGGAAAAAAAGCAAATATAGGAATCCATGAGAATAAACGTTGGCCGAGAAATATCCAAGTTGTCGCCAATTGAAGGCCTCCCAAAGCAGCCACTCCTCAACCCCCAAAACCTTGACCCAAACCAAATATTGTGGATTACTTTACTTTACAAGAATAAACATGATTATTAATAATAATAATATTAATATTAAAACATTCCTCGAGAAAATGATACCCGGACCATCAGCTTCATATCTCCCTGCCATCTATCTGTATGGAAGGGATGTGGGATATTTTGTGCCAGTAGCGTCCTTTTCCTGGTTGGCATCTCTCTTTTAGCACTGGACACCTAAAGATGAAAAGTCTCTCTAGTGAAGGAGGCAGACCCTCCTCTGGAATGGATGCTAGCTTTGGACAATTCCAAAGTCCCAAATGTTGAAGGGAGGTGAGGAATTGAAAGCCCTTGCTGCTCAGTTTCTTCAGATTCGGGAAGCCTTCTATTGAGAGGCTAGTGAGAGATTTGGGGAAGAGCGTCTCCATCCGTACCATGTCGGGTGGAAACGACACCGTATCCGGGTCTTCGTAACCACAAATTGTAAGAGAGGTGAGTCTGTGCAACCCCCACTCCAACTCCCACAATGACTTACAGCTCTTGACCATATTAATTTCAAGTGATGTGAGGTTGGGAGGAAAAGTCAAACCTTCACGGTAGTCGATGCTCAATTCCTCAAGAGAGTTGAGATTGTGCATGTCTTCGGGCAACGCCTCCAATTTCTCGCATATGTAGATCCCCATCTTTCTCAGGTTGGAGGGTCTTCTCCCCCCACTCAGTCTCGAGATGGAAACAAGACTTCCACAATTGATAATAATTAGAGTTTGAAGATTGCTGAGGTAGCATAAACCATCCGGTAAGGATTTCAGATTTTGGCAATCCCAGATCTCAATACATTCAAGAGAGTTGAGATTGTGCATGTCTTCGGGCAACGCCTCCAACTTGAGATTGTGCATGATCGAGATCTTTCTCAGGTTGGAGGGTCTTCTCCCCCCACTCAGTCTCGGGATGGAAACAAGACTTCCACATATTGCAATATGTAGCTCTTGAAGATTGCTGAGGTGGCATAAGCCATCCGGTAAGGATTTCAGATTTTGGCAATCCCAGATGTGAATACATTCAAGGCAGTGATTGGTGTTGTCGCTGAAGATCCCGTTCGGTGCTATTAAACCCAGTCGTTCACATTCCTCCTCATCTACTAGTGATTTCAAACTTTTGCAATCTCTTATCTCTATTCTTCTGAGATTTTGGGGAATCTGGAATTTTGCAAAATATATCAACGAATGGCATCCTGTAATCTCGATGTCTTTAAGAGAAGGTGGCAGACCAACATCTGGAAAAGAAACTAGAGATGAACATTCGTATATGCGAAGCTCTTGAAGAGACGACAGCTGATTTAACCCTTTTGGTAGCTTCAAAAGATTTTCGCACTTTTTTAACTTCAGACATTCAAGCTTGCACTCCAATATTTCCAATTGCAGCAACTCCTCTGCTTCTTCTCCCAATTCTTCAACTAGACGAGAGTTGTCTTCAATTTTCAAACGGCCAAGACAAGTCAACCGCTGCAATAATCTACCCTCATTCTTCCATGAAGACGTCAGCTTCTCACATCCATTAATCTTCAAATCTCTAACCTTGCTTAATCCCTTCCTCAACAATTCCCCTGTTTGCAGAGACATCACCTCCGAAATGTTTGAAAGGCACAAGGACTCTAATAACTCAAACTCAACCTTAGCATCTGTATGCACCAATACTTTACAACCCTTAATATTTAATTGACGAAGTTGTTTGTAGTTGGCAATCGAAACCGCCAATTCCTCACATTTAACAATTTCAAGTTCGGCTAACAAATCAAGGTTCTCTGGCAGCTTGCCTTCCAACTGGGAACATTTTTCGATTGAAAGCCTTTTCAGGCAAGGGAAAACACCACTTCTGTGATCCAGTTGGAAAGGAAGCCACACCTTCCAATGCTGCATATCCACAAACTCGAGAATCTCTAACAGCGGAAAAGCCAAGACACACTCGCCATAAAACTCAGCACCAACACTTTCCACTGCATTCATTCCTCTAATATAAAGCTCCTTGAGTTGAGGCAATTGTCCGAGAGGTGGCAACGATAAACAATTGTTACATTCCTCTAAGCGCACAAGCACCATATTAGAGAAGAAAGAACCTCCAACCCATGATGAAAATTCCTTGCCGGCATAACTCTTGATGGTGAGCTCCTTGATCTTTGTATGAGGCTGGAACATGTCAAGCACAGCGGATTCAGTTTCTCCTGTGTCGCTTGAATGAGACCATTCTAGGACCAACGAATCAAGCCTCTCCTTGCATTTCAAGTTGGCCCTCCTGGCATCCTCGACATCAGTCACATTCTCCAATCTTGAGAGGCACAATGTCCCTCGGAGCTGCGATAGGGGCCCTATTTCTCTTATCCCTGATTGATCACTTTCACCGCTCACCACAAAATTAGGCAATAATTGGAGATTCTCCAATCTACCTAGTTTTGGAGGCATTCCTTCCCACCGAGATACATCTGAGTTGTTGAGATGGCGCAAATTAATTAGATTACTCATGTCTGCAGGCAATGACTTTAATTCAGAACAACCTTCCAATATCAATGTCTGCAGGTTGTAAAGAGTACTTAATGATTTAGGCAAACAGGTTATCAATGTGTAGGAAACGTCAAGATACCGTAGATATCTCAAATCACCAATTGAGTTTGGCAGCTCAGTTATTCTATAGCCATTAAAAGAGAGCACCCGCAAGTACTGCAATTTTGGCAATAAATCAAAGGTAACCTGACGACTTAAATAATTGTAGGGAGAACCCTTTCTTAGTGGCAAGAAGGTTCGCAAACATTTCACTTCAGAAAATACCTCAAATCTTTTAACCCCATCACAATCACCCATAAGGTAAGACGAATGGCGTGCCTTCGGAAAACATGTAAGTTGTACACCATCATTATTTTGCTTATCCTCCAATCTAAAACAAATATCTCCAGCGGCCCATCTTGCTAAATCACCAATGAGGTCATGCATCACATATTTTGAAGTATCTTCGGTTGACTTTTGAAACAATGACCTACAAACGAGCTCCCGAAAATAATCAGCACCTAAATCTTCAATTTGCTTATTATCTTCTGGTCGATGATGAATCAAACCCTCGGCCATCCACAGAAGGATCATTTGCATCTCCCCGAATTCATAGTCATTTGGAAGTATTGAGCAATAGGCAAAGCATCTTTTCAAATGTGAAGGAAGATAAAAGTAACTTAGTCTCAACACGGGAAGTATGTCATGCTTATCTGAGAGACTCCACAACTTGTCGTTCAATATTTCTTCCCATTTGTCTATTTTTTGATCAAGTAGAACACCACCGAGGGTCCTCGCGGCCAAAGGCAATCCCCTACACTTTGCAACAATTTTCTCCTTTAGTGACTCGTAGTTTGGTGGTCTGTTAGCATTCAAGAGCGCATGCTGCTCAAATACTTGCAAACAAACATCATTTTGCATAGGCACCAAATTGTGAACCAGCGTGGCAGCTCCCATCATTTTTGAAACCTCTGTATCACGTGTTGTCACAACTATCTTGCTTCCTTGTGCTCCATCACGAAAAGGGGACTGCAGCTTCATCCATTCACCGTAGCTACACGTTTTCCAAACATCGTCTAAAACAATTAAAAACTTCTTCCCCGCTAACTCCTTATGCAGATCATTTTGAACCTTCTCGTAATCTTCTGTGGTGTATTGCCGAGATGTGATTGATTGAAGAATTTGCTTTGTCACTCTTTCAAGGTTGAAGTCGTCAGATACGCACACCCAAACGGCTGGTTGAAACATTTGGGTTGCTTCCATATCTTTGAATACTTGTCCGGCGAGTGTTGTCTTTCCGACTCCAGCCATACCAACAATTGCAACTACATCGAAATTGACAGCACGATGCTCTTGTTTTGACAGCAGCTCAACAATCTTCCTTTTGTCCTCCTCCCTTCCAATCACAGGTCTATCTGATAGACTAGAACTAGGCGGTATGTATTGGCGTGCCCCTGGAGTCCACGTCACAGTATCAATTTTCAAACCGAGCTGGTCTTTTCGTACGGATATCTTTTGTAATCGCTCAGTAATCTTCTCTATGTCTGAGTTCATCTTCCAGTTGAAAACACCATTAGGAAATGGTTTCCATGCTTTGCTTATTGCGCTGGAATGAGCATGTTGTATCCGACGTTTCAACATTTCAGTATGATATTTATCCAACACGTCTTCCGCATCAAAAGCCAAGTCCCTGAGTTCATCGAGCCAGAGCTTCAGTGTGTTGCTCTCATCCGCCAGTTGCCTTTTCTCCGCGTCAATCAGCACAGCTCCAATTGCAGACCAGGTGGCAATCCATTCCGTCAGTTTCTTATCGACGCTTTTTACGAGTCCAAAGTACTTCAAGACGTCGCGACTCGCCAACTTGTCAACCAGCATTTGGAGGAATGACGCAAGAAAAGCCTCTGCCGCCATAGTTTCTTGAATTGGAAGTTTGATCCGTTGAGCAAGTACCAATCAAGACTCACAAGTAGTCACATCTGCACAATTTAAACAGATTAAACTAATTATTTGGGTACACACACGGGCTCCATTGGGTATGTGAGTCGGGTTACGTTTTACTGTCAAATAGTTCAATTACATGATAAGTTCAATTACGTTATACTCAAAATTGCTTAATTTGAAAGATAAAACACAAAAGATAAATTTGAGGCTACAAAATCTTATATTTGTTACATTTTAAAATAACATTATCAATTTATAACACGTTACACAACTTGAAACACGTTACACTAGTAATAGGACCAGATGCGTAGCAATAACTTACGTGAAAGTCGTCAGGTCGCAGATCAAGAGAACACTAGTTTCCAGGGATCAAGTTTCAGTTGAAGTTGAAAACTTTAGCGCAGTTGAGACTGAGTAGTTCCCTGGAAGCTTGAGCTCTCAAGCTTAAAACTGCACAAACTGTTAACCATTAAACCACATAAATATATATATATATATATATATATAGCTGCAATTAAGATGAAGAAAACGAAATAATTAAATAAAAATAATGGATTTCCCATATAAATATAATTGGAAGAAGAATTTACTGCATTAAATTGAAGTTTTCAGATGATCATGAAGACGAAGAGACTTGATTCCATCTGATCTGATCTGATCTCGTATTGGAGTCAAAGAATCCAGATTCCAAACGAAAATACTTCAGAACTTTCAATAGTTCAATTTGCTATGATAAATCCTCCTCTTTGTTTTCCCTATCTCTTCATTGTCGCGGGGCTAATTTTGTCTTCTACTTTTTCCTGTGTAAAAAAAAGTCCTCGTCCTGAGAGCACAACACAAAGCACAAGAAACAGCACATGGTAGAAAAGTTAAAAAGCTATACTGCTTTGTAACATAGATTACATTATTTTGCTTTTGTGATGGTAATCAGCTCATTTTTTTTGTATGCTATTGTAGTAATCATGGTCTGTTTTTTTAAGTCAATTGATTTGAAACCTCCTGAGTTTCAATTATATATTGTTTACATATTAAAATAACACTATTAATTTAGGACACGACAAGTTACACAAATCGAAATTCGAATGAATATATGACCGGATGTGTAGCAAGAACTTACATGGAAGTCGTCGGATCACGAGGAAACTTGCTTCCGAGGATCAGTTGAAGACTTAAAGTTGAAATCTTTTAGTGCAATTAAGATTCAAGTAGTTCCCTGGAAGCTTGAGCTCTCGAGCTTAAAACTGCAAAAAGTGTTGAACATCAAACCATATATATAAAGCTGCGATTAAGATGAAGAAAATGAAATAATTAACGAATAAATAATGGATTTCCCATACAGATATAGTTGGAAGAAGAACTTACTGCATTAATTGAAGTTTTCAGATGATCAAGAAGATGAAGGGACGCGTTTCCATCGATCCGATCGCTTATGAAAATCAACAAATCCAGATTCCAGATGGCAAAGACTTTAGAGCTCTTCAATAATTCAATTTGCCATGATAAGTCCTTTGTGGCCAGAAAGAAAGTGTTACTTTCCTCTTTATCCTCTCTTCACCGTCGTGGGGTCATAATTTTTTGTTATAAAAAAATATAAAAAATGTAAGGTTAAGATAATTAAATTTGTAAATAAAATTTATAAATTAAATGGTGTGTCACCAATAAAAATGAACACGTTTGTTAACGTTAAAATAATAATTTAATCATCAACTTTCATATCAATTGCTAAAACATATAAGGAAGAGGGAACAAAATAGAGAAGAAAGAAGGGGATCATTTTTTTTTTCTTAATACTTTTCAAAATTAAAAAAAATATATTTAATATAGTAATTAACTAAAATTAGATAAAAGATACATGACAAAATTTAAAATAGATGATAAACGTACACCATAATTTATATCGATGAGAAAAATGCACGTTTTGTCGTGAGCCACACAACTGGAAGGATAAGAAAGCAAAGTTGATAATTTGGCAGACCAGGAAAAAGCATGGCAATTGGCAAACATACAGGGGCTCTTTATCCTACCGACGCCAGATTTTTCCAAAGTTGCCAACCATGCGTCCTACTTCAGCTTTTTCAGCGTTTAGTCACAAGGGCTGTAAATCCACACTTACACTTACCATATGCCCAAGGTTTTTGTTTTAGTCAAATGCCTATTGAGATTTGTATAATTCATCATTTTGATTTATGAGATTTCAAATCTTTAAGGTTGTTCACTATTAATCATTTTGATAATTATGTGAAATATCTCCATTAAATAAGAATAAAATGATAAAAATACCTTTAATTTTTGTCATATCATTTTGGCATATTGTTTATTAAATTAAGGGTATTTTTGTCATTTTGATTCTTATTTAACATAATGTTTCACGGAATGCCCAAAATGATTGATGGTAGACAATCTTAGAGACCACTACTATTGATTTCAAATCTCAGATACCAAAGTGATAAGTTATGCAAATCACAGAAACTATTTTGGTTAAAAAGCCTATTCCATGAATAGATGTTTAAGAAATGAAAATTGAGTAGAAGTATTATAAGTGGTGGATTGCCACTGTATTTTGAGTACAAATCCTAGTTCTTCCCATAATTTAGATGAATTTAATGTAGATCATTTATCGTTTGTCATTTTGTTTTGATAGAATCTTGGTGGTATAAGGAATTTTTTTGATATAAGAATGTTAAACTTTGTTAGAGAACGACAGTAAACTTTACTTCTCGTTAAAAAAAGATACATAAATAAAAAAAAATATGAGACAAAGCCTCTCTAAAACAAAACATAAAAGATAAGAAGCTGCAAAACAAACAAATTTTAAAAGAATTAGGATTGCAATTGTGTCAGAATTCCACCAACATCACATGCTAGAAAAGTTGCATTCCACTATCCCCATGACAGTCCACAAGCAAGAAAAGTTAATAAGTTGCATTCTTTCTAGAATCACTTGTCTAATTTATCATTAAGTCAAATTTCAAATATAACATAATAACGCGTGATGAGAAACTTAGCATCAAAGAAAAAAAATTAGAAAAACTTTTATGTTTTGAATAATTGATTCATGTACCTAATCTCAAGTGTATTGGCATTAAAACGAATATACTGTTATCATGATATCACTTATTCGAGAAAATTAGTCATAGTCTTACTGTAAACATCTTTTGACAAATTGTGGCACTTTTGATTTAGCTTTGTAAAGCTGCTTTTTTAATTAAATTTATAATATATGTGGAAGGTTAGTAGTGCCCTTCGTTTATCTATAAAAGGGGGCAACAATGCAGCAGCTACCTTAACACAACACAAAGGACAGAAGACAAAGTTGATCATTCGGCAGACCAGGAAAACGCATGGCAATTGTTATTCATGTTTTGAATGACTCTGTATAGTCTGAAGTATTACGGCCACCAAGAATTTTATAGAGCAAGTAAACTATCATTTTGAAATCACATTGCTTGAATAATACAAGAGTAATTAATCAAAATAGACACGTTTTGACAAATTGTATCTGTGAAAAGTTATATGGTGCCCTTCATTAATCAGAAAGGGGGTGAAATATGAGCTAACTCAATTGACAATTTTTAAACTTTGAGCTTACCTAATTGGAAGTTTGTCACTTTGAGCTTAAGCAATTGGAAGTTTGCTACACCAACTAGTATAGGGCCTCATATCGGACAGAATGATGTCTAAGCGTCCTCTTAGACATATTCAAGCCGATATGAGGCCCTATACTAGTTGGTGTAGCAAATTTGTGGTGGAGATAGTATCACATCATTCCGTTGATGTCTCGCTCAAGTTTTGCATTTAAACACATTACATCGATTTATTCATGAACTGGTTTTTTCTTTTTCTTTTTTTTTTTTTTTTTTTTTTTTACAAATTATAGGATAATTTATACTAAGTTCATCTAAACTACAAAGATGGGTGGAAATTCGAACTTAGGTGCAAAAAAATGATCACAGCACTGTAGTCAACTTAACTTAAACCAAGTTTGCAGCCTTTTAAGTGCAAATTTTGTAATCTAACCTAATATGGACTTCTCTATACGAGTCATGTAGCAAAGTCATACATGTTTCAAGAGTTGCAAACTTTTATGTTTGGAAAAAAAGTATATGATTCGGTGTTCAATCCTTTGGTGTATGATCGTGAATAAGCAAATTGACCAAAAGAGGAAGAATAAAGGCAATAAAGATTGCTTTATGAGAAGAGAATGCTTGAATGGAATACTTGTGTATTTCATTGATACGTGAAGGAGAAAGATATACAGTTGATATGCACAATTGACTCCATAGAAATTGGAGTTGACTTCCTAACTAGGCAAATACATAAAAAAGCTAAGTAAACAAATAATTAGGGATTTGTTCTGATTGAGATCTCATTGATTTGTCAAAACTCCCCCTCAAGTTGGTGCATATATATCACTCATGCCCAACTTGTCTAAGAAACTTGAAAACTTATGACTTGAAACAGCTTTTGTGAGAATATCTGCCAACTGATCCTCCGTTCTAATTGATGGTACTTCAATTATTTTTCCTTTTTTTCCTTGATAAAGAATCTATCAACTTCAACATGCTTCGTTCTATCGTGTTGTACCGGATTATGTGCAATGTCACGGGCGGCTTTATTATCACAAAATAATTTCATAGGATGATCATTTTTAATCCCCAAATCCTGCAATAGAAGTTTTAGCCACAAAATTTCACAAATTCCAAGGACCATTCCTCTGTATTCGGCTTCTGCACTCGAACAGGCAACCACATTCTGCTTCTTACTCCTCCATGTAACCAAGTTACCCCCAACAAATGTAAAGTAACCTGATGTTGAGCGCCTATCATCAACTGAACCTGCCCAATCTGCATCAGTATAACCTTAAACTCCAAGATGGTTATTTCTTTTAAACAAAATCCCTTTCCATGGACTTCCCTTTAAATATCGCAAAATCCTCATCACTGCATTCATATGTTGTTCTCCGAGATCATGCATGTATTGACTCACAACACTTAAGGCATAAGCAAAGTCCGGTCTTGTGTGTGCTAAGTACATTAAACGGCCTACTAACCTCTGGTATCTCCCTTTGTCAACTGGTACTTGATTTGGATCAACACAACTAACCTCTGGTATCTCCCTTTGTCAACTGGTACTTGATTTGGATCAACACAAAGCTTTAATCATTCCTCTAATGGTGTAGATACTGGCTAACAAGCTGACATGCCGGTTTCATGCATCAAATCAATAATGTACTTTCTCTGAGACAAGAAAATTCCTGAATTGCTTCTCGATACCTCAATCCTTAAAAAATATTTCAGGGATCCAAGGTCTTTCATCTCAAATTCAGTAGACAAGTATCTTTGTAAGGCCGCACAGTTCTTCTGGATCATTTCTTGTTACCACCATATCATCTACATACACAATAAGTGCAGTAAACTTCACATTTCATCTTTTACCAAATGCTTTCATTGACTTTGTGAATCGTCCAAACCATGCTCGAGTGGATTACTTCAAACCATATGAAGATTTCTTCAACCTATACACCTTCCTTTTGTATTTATCTGGAGTATTACATCCTAGTGGAAGATCCATATAAATCTCTTATGTCAAATCTCCATGTAAGAAAGCATTCTTCACATCGAACTGCTGTAAGGGCCAATTGAGATTTGCAGCCAATGACAACAAAACTTGAAATATGTTAATCTTGGCCACAGGTGCAAATGTATGTGTATAGTCGATTCCATATTTTTGAGTGTACCATTTTGCTACTAGTCTTGCCTTGAAGCGATCCACCGTCCCATCAGCTTTATACTTCACAGTATAAACCCATTTGCATCCCACAGGTTTCTTACCAGTTGACAAGTATGTGATCTCCCAGGTAGCATTCTTCTTCAAAGACTTCAACTTTTTATTCATTGTTGCTTGCCAATGTGGATCGGCTAAAGCCTCATGCACATTGTTAAGAATAGATACAGTAGATAATTGATACACAAATGACTTATTTGAGTTTGACAGGTGACTGGTAGACACATAATTACTTAACGGATATAACACATTGGACTCAGGGTTGGGCTTATTCACCAAATACCTAGTTTTGCACTTAGGATCAACTTCGTAAGTGGGTTTAGGAATACCTCGGTTGACACGGTTAGGGAGACAACATGGTGGTGGTGGTGGTGGTGCATCTGAAATTGAAGGTGATTGATTATGGTTATTGGGGCTCAAAGATGGTGAGGCCAACTGTGAGGGCAGCGAGGAAGCTGGTGGTGCGGACGTTGGCAGTGAGCTATTCGGCGACGTAGGCTCGTCTCTTTCAAGGTTTTCAACATTATTTTCATGTGAATGATCATCACTTGTCTCCAATGAATTACCACTTAATTCCAAGTCATTCACATTACTTTCATGTGAATGATCACCACTTGTCTCCGAGACATCACCACTTGAATCCAAATCATCCACAATAACTATATCCAGAATACTATAATCAAGAGTTTGAACTTCTGTCTGATTCTCCCCCTGAAGTGAAGACTCAACATTGACATAGTACATATCATTCTCATGAAATGCAACATCCACAGTGACGAACAACTTTTTCGTTGGAGGGTGATAACATCGGTATCCCTTTTGATGTGATGCATACCCCACAAACACACATTGCAAGGCTCGAGGTTCAAGCTTACTCCTCTGCTGCTTATGAAGATGAACGAATGCCACACAATCGAACACGTGAGGTGGGAGATTGGGAACTGCATGAGCATAGACATGGGAGGCAAGAACCTGAAACGGTGTCTGAAAATTAACCGATCGAGAGGGAACACAATTAATGAGATATGCAGCTGAAGTGAGAGCTTCTCCCCAATAGGATAACGGAAGACGAGCCTCAAGCAAGGAAGCACGAACAACTTCCAGAAGCTGACAGTTCATACATTCTGCAATCCCATTTTGTGGAGGAGTGTTTGGACATGTAGATTAATGAACAATACCATGATGATCAAGAAATGCATGAAGCTCATTGTTCACATACTCGCCGCCATTATCACTCCTAAGAACCTGTATTTGTAACTTATATTGTACTCGCACCATTTTGTGAAATCGTTGAAACAAAGAAGTAACTTCATTTTTGGACTTCATCAAATAAACTCAAGTCATACGTGTGCAACCATCAATAAAAGTAACGAACCAATGAGCCCCACCAAATGTGGCAGTTTTAGATGGTCCCCAAACATCATAATGAATTATCATAAAAGGAACATAACTTTTAGTCATACTGGGCGGAAACGAAGTACGATGACTTTTAGCCAGTTAACAAATACCACATTTAAAGTTAGAAACATCATGCTTAACAAACAAGCTAGGAAACAACCTCCGTAAATAACCAAAAGAAGCATGTCCAAGTCGACGATGCCATAACCAAACCTCCGAAGCTTTATAGTCGAGAGAAGGAACTGATAATAAATTATAGTCAAGAATCTCCATAAATTGCAACTACATCGAAATTGACAGCACGATGCTCTTGCTTTGACAGCAGCTCAACAATCTTCCTTTTGTCCTCCGCCCTTCCAATCACAGGTCCATCTGGTAGACTAGAACTAGGCGATATGTGTTGATGTGCCCTTGTAGTCAACGTCCCAGTATCAAATTTCAAACTAAGCTGGTCTTTTCTTTCAGATATCTCTTGTAATCGCTCAGTAATCTTCTGTATTTCCAAGTTCATTTTGAAGTTGAAAACACGATTAGGAATCGATTTCCATGCTTTGCTTGTTGTGATGAAATGAGCATGTTGTATCTGACGTTTCAACATTTTAGTATGATATTTATCCAACACGTCTTCCGCATCAAAAGCCAAATCCATGAGATCATCGAGCCAGAGCTTCAGTGCGTTGCTCTCAGCCGTCAGTTGCCTTTCCTCCGCGTCATTCAGCACCGCTCCAATTGCAGACAAGGTGGCACTCCACTTCTTCAGTTTCTGATCGATGCCCTTTACGAGTCCAAAGTACTTGAAGACCTCGCGTTGTGCCAACTTGTCAACCAGCACTTGGAGGAATGCCACAAGAAAAGTGTCTGCCGCCATAGTTTCTTGAATTGGAAGTTTGATCTGTTAAGCAATACCAATCAAGACTCACAAGTAGTCATAGCTGCACAATTAAAACAGATGAAACTAATTATTGTATACAAATTTATGCAATTCCATAACCGTCCAACCGGCTACACAGAGGCTCAATCGGGTATGTTAAAAATCATATGCTTTTTACATGTTAAAATCTTAAAGTAGGACTCTACAAGTTACAGAACTCAGAAACTCGCATGGATATAGGAGCGGATGTGTAGCAAGAACTTACATGGAAGTCGTCAGATCACGAGGAGAGGATACTTGCGTCCGAGGATCAGATTTCAGTTGAAGTTGAAAACTTTAGTGCAATTAACAAAGTGTTGAACATGAAACCATATATATATTCAGCTGCAATTAAGATGAAGAAAATGAAATAAATAACGAATAAATAATGGATTTCCCATATAGATATAGTTGGAAGAAGAACTTACTGCATCAATTGAAGTTTTCAGATGATCATGAAGATGAAGGGACTTGTTTCCATCGAACTCATCTGATCGCTTTTGAAAGTCAACGAATCCAGATTCCAGACCACAAAAGACTTAGAGCTCTGCAATAATTCAATTTGCTATGCTAATTCCTTTTACCATCGTTTAGTCAAGGGCTGTAACTAATCTCCACGCTTTACTTACCATATCCTGAATAGATGTTTAAGGAATGAAAATTGAGCAGGATTTTCATGATGGAGTGAAATATCACAAATTGTGGGTTATCTTGGGATAAGGTTTTTCTCTTCAAACTATCGTGTTTTGGGTCTAAATTCTTCTCCGTTTTCATAATTTAGATGAATTTTGGGTAGATTATTTTTCATTTATCATTTTGTTCTGGTAGAACCTTGGTGGGACAAGGAAATTTTATTAAAATGAAAAAAAAAGGTACACCAAATGAAAGAATGACATAAAATTTACTCATCTTGATAACGAAAATACACAAAAAAAAAAAATGACATATAACCAAACGCCTCTAAAACAAAACTTAGAAGATAAGAAGCTACAAAACAAACATTTTTTTAAAAGAATTAGGTTTGCAATTGTATTAGTATTCCACCAACAACACACGCTAGAAAAGTTCCAATTTCAGAATCCCCACGACAATCCACAAACAAGAAAAGTTAGAAACTTGTATTAGACGTGGGCACGAGCCAGGCTGGGCCCAAATTTGAAGGAACTGGACCAAACTTGCTTAAAAAGAAAACAGGACGGGCCTGGTTAGGGCCAAGTACGCGGGTCCTCTGTCCCTTTTTTTTTTTTGGGAAATTACCGTAACGAAGTAAATCACATCGGTTCATATGAAGGCTGCAATTAGTTCATGAGCTGCAATGCTCTACAAAATCTTGTACGTTAACAAGCACTAAACTTTTCGATGACAACCAACTTCCCCAATAAATTAAATCCAGGGTTGCAAACTTTTATTTTTAGAAAACAAGTACATGATTCGATGTTCAATCTTTTGGTGTATGATCGTGAATAAGCAAATTGACCAAAAGAGGAAGAATAAAGGCAATAAAGATTGCTCTATATATACATAATCCTACAACACCCCATACCAAAATACATACATTTCTAGCATTCACTTATCATCCTTGAGGAGAATGAGGTTAAAAGTTAAACTAAAACCAGTGCCGACCAAAGTGGCTGCGCCAAAGAAACGAGAAAGCAGAAGGAGGTGATGACCAAATTACTCAATAGCTAAGGTAAATGGCCTTCTGCCAATGGAACTTGTTACTCTTCTCAACTACAATCGGTCGGGAAATTATCTGAGATAAGAATTACATTTCAGCTTAAAAGGGTGTCGCCTGCTCAAGAAACTGTTCACAAATAGACTTTGAAAATCTGCAACGAGAAACGAAAACCAATTATTACAAGTATTTTGGTTTTGATAGGCAGTAACTAAAGGCATTTTACATTTTGCAGAAGGAAAATTGCTCCTTTAACAGCCAAACTGCCAGCACAAATGTAATTTAGAGCACGGAAAGGAAAATGGAGAATAAAGGTAAGCATTACCTCTTCTTGACCAGAAGCACTTATTACTGAAGAATATACTGAACAGAGTTTATCGCATTCTGCTGTTGTTTAATTGATGGTTTCGGGGCAAGAGGACTGCAAATGAGCATATTGGAACTTAGTCCAGCAGTATCTTAAAATTGACTAGCCGAAATGCCCAAGCATAGCTACTAAGACCATGGCTTTAAACCATGAAAGTACCTTCAGAGATGCAGCAAAAGCTTTCTGGGGGGAAGATCGTCGCTGGGTCTGCTCTATTCTGGCAAGAAACAGCAAAAGCCAGGCAGTTTTTACTGTACAAAACAAGAACCAAACAATAGATTATTTTAGAGCCTGGCCGAGTTGACAGTTTCAAAGGGTACACAATCTAAGCCTTCTAAAATACATATCATCGAGATGACTGTGATGCTCTATAATTTAAAGATCTAAACCATATTTCATACATAACAATTGAAAAACATACCTTGACCATGAAGGAATAAATTTACTATTCGGTATGACATTGTCATCATTGTCATTTTCATCATCTGATTCTTTGTATGGAGAGATGTCATAAGACTGCTCTTGACTTGTAATGCCAATTGAATTCTCCATTTCTTTGTCTAAATCGCTCGGTACCTTAAATATCACAGGAAGTATCAGCACAAGGCTTTACAGAGAAGGTAAAAGTGCACAAAAGTATTCAGCTATTCATGCATAAGAAAGCTTTCTACCAGTGGTTCAGATTTGAGTTTACATTAAGCTATTAGGAGTTTTAACATAGCAAAAGGGAAGGCCTCAAAAGAATTAAAACCCAACAAGTTTAAAGGTCCCATGCAAACTACAACAACAGAGGATTATAATTCATGCTACGCTCACGGTTTATCACTCTGCTCCAGACTATGCAAGTAAAAGCACTCAACATGCAAGTAGATCCTAACATATGGTGGGTATTAAAAAGTCACCAGCATTTACCTCTGCTTTATACCCATAATTACTCGAGGCCTCATGGAACTCTTCATGGACAATACTTTCTCTTCCGGCGTTGCTTATTGAAATCCTGGAAGTACTAGGCTGAGTCTCTGAAATATTTCTGGAATTGTCAAATCCCCTTTCTGCCTCCATCTTCTTATTTGCCGTTTCATCCTTAGATTTCTTACCGCCATGGCCTCTTCCATCCTGCACAAGGAAGCACAATGTAGAATGTGATACCTAACATTGCAAAAGGAAAATGATATAACGAAATGAGGCAGAGCATAAAGAATCATACAATGGCCTGGCTTTTCATTTCATTCTCTACTTTTTCAGCAGGTAACTTGTATTCATGTTCTCTCTGCTGTCTACGGGCTTCAACACGCATTCTTTTTCTTTCCTTCTCCTTCCTTTCTTCCTCTTCCCTTTGTCTCTTCTTTGATGCCATATCAGCTTCTTTTTTCTTCCTCTCTTCTTCTTTCTTTTTTTTCTGCACCTCCAATTGCTTCATATTCTCCTGCTCCATTCTTGACCGCTCAAGTTTCAAGGCTTCCTTCTTCATCTTGCGTTCATTCTCTTTCTTTTCTGCAAGACGCTTTGCAGCTTCAGCTGCCTCCAGGGCCTTCACTTTGATGTCCCTCTTTCCTGCAAGAGAGCACAACTAGGTCAAAATACTGAATCAATTCATTGTGACCAAAACACAAGTGGTACATCACATGTTTTTATATAAGTGGTGGGAAATTTTATTTTTTAAGTTATTAACTTTTTAACACATATGTAACATCTCCCAGAATGCTCACAAGACATGCACAATGATACAATTAAAAAACAAATGAATCACTATCAAGATCCTTACAACAAGTTGAAGTCACCTATAAATTTTTTTTGAAGGATAATATGCAACTCAATTTTCATGGGACTTTCAAATATGCACTTTAATTTTTACTAGATGATCCCAAACATGCATTACCAATTTACAACTCCAAACAAAACATTCCCTAATTCAGTAAAAAACAAAACCATTATCCATACTGTAACCCAGTTTAGACATACGATTATTATCCACACTCGAAAAACAATCATATGGAATATGTACAAGTAAGCAACATCCAAAGTTCAAGATTAAGATTACTAGTAAGAAATTACCTGTTACAACTGCAGCTGCTTGTTTCTGTTGAACAAGTGGAATGAAAGAAGTCATGCTGGACACGATATTGTTACGTTTTGGCTCCTGCTCTGACAAACTTGGACCACCTTTTCTCAAACTGGTTTTTCCAGATAATTTTGGTTTACTGAACCTGTTATGAAGTGATCCAGTAGTCCTCTTAATATCGTTTGTTGCTTGTGACATGCTCAGGTTCTCCTTATTGTTATATCTTCTCTTGCTGCTGTTTTGGATTCCAAGCCTCTGTTTGAAGCTCTTATGAGTGCCTGTAAAGCTGATTTCAGTATTCATGGAATCTAGGCTAAGTCTATCTGCATATGGTTCAGCTTTAGAAACTGATGCAGGAGGGTTTGGAATCTCAGTAATGTCAGCAAGGGGTACTCTTTGTATTGAGCTATTTAATGCATCTGAAACAATGCCACCTTGGAAAGTATCAGCTACCTCATCTGCATTCTCATTTTCTTCACTGATGCAGGGAAGCTCCAGATTTAAGCTTCCTCGCTTCCTTGAACTGCTAGTCCTTGAACCAGTTATATCCCAAAGTTTCCCAACTGGAGACAGATAAGGTTTCTTAGTATCCCAACTAGATTGACCACTATGATTTAATAGGCAATCAGAATAGGACCTTGCATAAAACGCCTGGCCAACTTCCTCACTCGAGCAACTATGACCATCCCTTAATTGCTTGACAGCATCATTCATGGTCCTCATATCCACACCCTCTAGAAGCCCAGTTGGAACAGACTGGTAGAGATTTGGAATATTATGCAACTTATATGAAGCAGAAGAGCATGCAACTGGAGTTTGCATGCAAGCAGATTGGCACAGCTGCTCCAGAATGCTGGCATGTTCAATTGTAGTGCTTGGAAGGTTCCACTCGTCAAAGCCAACTCCCTTTCCAGCAATGCTTGTTGGTTCATCATCTGTTTGCATAACGAACCCCTCAAGCTCAGGCTTTGTATCATCGCCACCAATCAAATCCAAGGATTGGCAACGTAGAGATCCAAAATTACTGGTCCCTTCAAGATCAAATCTCATTTCCTGCATTTCTCTTCGAGCACAAGTCAAATGTTCAGCATGTCCTATTGTAAGATGATTCTCAAGAGTTAATGAAACAGTGTTCTCTTCTATGCATTGACTTCCTGAATCAACGATAATGCTTGGCGGATGTGCTACTCCTGTTTCCTCCATCAAAGAATTTTGAGACCGGCCACCAGTCTGCTTCATCAAACTTAAGATTGATTCTTCAAATTCTTTATCCATGAAAGTGAAACGTGCATTCCCACTTGTATTCCCGCATCCCAAGCTGATTCTACCCTGTCAGACACAACCTTATGCATTAGAAAAGATAAAATAAAAGTAGAAGAACAACCTGTCTGATATAAGAGAACAAGTATACAGACCTCAAATAAAACAAAACTACTAAATAGAGTAACATAGATGTAAGTGCCACAGCTTAGCCAAGAGAGAGACAGAGAGAGAGAGAGAGAGAGAGAGAGAGAGAGAGAGATCACTGCACAATTGAAAAGTACCTCTGTCATCTGTGCCTTAGGTGAAGATTCAGAGCAATCTATCATGTGGGGATCCTCATTTTGATGTGTTGATTTCACAACATCCTCCTGGGAAACTGAAAGTCCTTGAGATTCTAGCATGGCCTTTGGACTATGTTCTACACTTCCCAAGTTCCCACACGCAGAATCACTACTGACAGTGTAAAAGCCATGTTCTCTCAAGTCCAAGGAAGCAGGCAGGTAATCAGCCGTTTTATGCCCAGTCTTTCTTCGTTTATGCTGAGGGCATGAACCCTCCAAAAGAAAGTGATCTCTTGCCTTTGCTTCCTTCTTTTGGCAACTTGCATTAGTGATATGAGAATAATTAACCGATTCCAATGGTTGATTTGCATGGTTAGACAGCCGAGGTAATATGCCAATAGAACCTGCAAGTGTTCCGCCAGTTTTTCTGGCATTAATGGCTGAACCACTGACATTCAAAGAGCTCTCCTGTTGGCCAGAGCTTCTAGATCTTGCAGTTCTACTAGAGGAGATAGCAGTGCCTCTTTCCTTGCTTTGAAAATCACCTATTTTTGCCTCTTCCACTTCACAAGCACTTGTATCAGGAGGTTTGACCACATTCAGTTCATCACTAGTTTCACCCTGTCAAACACAACCTCATGCATTATAAACGATCAAATAAAAGTAGACAAGAAAATTACAAGCACAATTAAACAGAAAGTCTCAAATAGAAGAAGACTACTAAACAGAATATGGGCCACCACTTAGCCGAGAGAGAGCAAGAGAGATCACTGCATAACAGAAAAGTAAGTACCTCTTTAATCTGTGCCTTAGGTGAAGATTCAGAGCTCTCTATCATGTCGTGGTCCTCAAGTCGAGGCGTTTCTTCAACTGGACTTCCCCTAAGAATTGATTTTGCAACATCCTCCCGAGAAAGTGGGCCTTGAGATTCTAGTAAGGCCTTTGGACTATGCTCTACGCTTCCTGTGCTTCCACACAGAGACTCTCTATTGCCACTTTCTAGCAAAGTACTAGTACCTCCATCATTATGATCATAGGATGCCTCTTTAACTGATAGGACAGCATTTCCATTAGAGACACTTTTAGAATCCTCTGCAGGGGATTCAGATAAAGCACTCTGGAGGTCCTTTCCTTTGACTGAAACTTCTGGATCCCCCAGAAAATTCATCGGCAGGGATGAGTTACAGTTTTCTTGGTAATCGACAGTCATTCCTTCATCCCGTATATCTTCAGTGTGCATCAAGGAAAGATAACTTTTCTCTGATGACCTTCCCTGCATTCCCTCTTTAAGAGGAGTATAACATCCATTCCTACAGGACTCTTCCACATCATCAAAATTAAGTTGCTTGGGATTCACAAACACATTACAATCAGCTGGCTGCCTTGAGGCTAAAACTTCCACTCCAACTTTAAGCCCAGTACCATCCAATTTTGATCCAGAACCTTCAACCGATACATCAGGATGAATTTCAGTTTCTCCACCAGTTGCAGCTTTAACAAATTCACTGGTTTGAGTACAAGGTACCCCTTTTACCATAGCACTTGATACATCCTGGTGCCTGATTCCTGCAGACCCACGAGTCATTTTCTCTGACAAATGCTTGCTGTTGTTGTTACTTGTCTTTCTACCAGCATCGTGATCTACATCATTTTCCTTGTCTGAAGAATCTGTTGAATTCTCCACAAACAGATCCTGATCACATTGAATTGGAACAGACCTTCCAGAAGATATTTGAGTTCTCTGTGAATCATGAGACTTTTTAGATGCAGCATATGTTGACTGATTAATTCTTTGACCAGATATATTGGCGATGGTGCCTTTCACTATTTTTTCAGTCCTACACACAGCTTGTGACCCAGTACTTCTGAAGACATACTCCCCAGAAGAATCCTCCTTACTTGAATGCTTTTCCCCATTTACTGCACAAAACTCAAGATTACTTTGAGCAGGTAGAGACCTTAAAATGGACACTTGAGACCCATGTGCATCATGGAAATCAGGATCTCCTGTAGTCCAACTTAAACGCTGAGGTGGCTGTGTTGATGTACCGGTGGAATGATGGATTGTACCGCCATCACCCTTTACAGAAACACAGGAAGTATCTACCTTCGGAGAATTGTTAACATCGTTTGGGTTTCGGGAAGAACTTCTGGATCTTGTTATTCTGCCACTGTAATCACTGATTCCCTTGCCCCAGCACTCCCCCACTTTTGTTTTCACTTCACAACTTCCATCAATTACATCACAAGATTTCACCACTTCCACCATTTCGTCAACATGTTTCGGACGTTGCAATGAATTTCTGACACCATCTTCACTTATGCTGTTAGATAAATGCTCCAACTTGGACATTTCATCAAGACAACTAGGTTCTTGACTAGCACTTCTAGATCTTGTTGTTCTCCCAGAGTACATGCTGCTTCCCTTTTCCTTGGTAAAATAATCACCTACTTTTGCTTCATTCTCTTGGCGACAATCATTAGTGATATGAAAGCAATTAACCAATTCCAACGGTTTATTTACATGGTTAGACTGCTGACCAGAGCTTCTAGATCTTGTAATTCTACCAGAGGAGATGCTAGTACCTCTTTCCTTGCTTCGAAACTCGCCTATTTTTGCTTCTTCCACTTCACATGCATAATCACTTGTCTCAGGAGGTTTGAATAAGTTCAGTTCATCAACATGGTCAGACTGTAGGGAAGATATCACACACCCAATTGTTCCACTAGCATACCCAATACCATTGTTCTTATCCAGTGAAAAGCTTTTTTTGGCACTGTTGCGAATTTCCAACGCTTTTTGTCTGGATTTGGATCTCTGAACTCTAGCCAGTGATAGTGCTGGGTCATGGTAAATGTCAGAGGTTCTTGCATCCCTCTGATCTTCAGGAGATGTATTACTCAGATCCTCTTTTCTCGGATCTTGAGGAACACTGTTGGAGGAACTTGCGGCATTACTAACAGGGCATTGTGGCAAAGTTGATACCACATCTCCTGCACCTCTAGCTGGTGATAGAGCTGGATCATGGTAAATGTCTGAGATTCTTGCATCCCTCACATCTTCTGGAGATGTAACACTAGGATCCTTTTCCCTCACATCTTGAGGAACGCTTTTGGATACACGCCCAGCATTACCTACGGAGCACTGTGGCAAAACTGACACCTCATCTCCAGCACCAAAACCTTTGTCCAAACCATGAAATTCAGTGCACAAACCATTTGCTAGCTCCCCACTGAGAGTTGTGGGAGCTGGCTTGTCAAACACAGAACAGTGACTACTAAAAGGGATCATAGGCAGCGCGCCATGGAGTGGAACTCCGGAATTCAGCTCTTGTTTGTTCAACACTGTGATGAACAAATCAAAAGATACTTAATTAAGCCATGCACATAAGCACAAGGACATTGTACATGCATACATACATTACACATACAGCATACAAATGTGTGTGTGTGTGTGTGTGTGCAGTATTCCTCGCCATATTCCATTAATGAATCGTTTGAATTGAAAATATATTCCAAATATAAAAATTACAAGCAGGCAAACAGAGGATTAAGAAAGCCAAAACGGTCCGAATTACACCAATAAAAAATGCAATGCAGACAGCCAAAGTTTCATTTCTTCGTCATCTAAAAACGTAATTCCCACTAAAACCGAAGCAAAAAAGTTAACAATATTATTCAAACCATGCCCTCAAAAAGTACACAAATACACAATGCAATGTGCAAAGCCTAGTTTTCATTTCTTCATCATCCAATCACGCAATTCCCCCCAAAACCTAAACAAAATAGCAAATTTGAAATCGAAAGCAGCAAAGTTCAATATTTTTATCCAAACAATGTGGAAAACCTAGGTTTCGTTTCTTCATCATCTAAGAACGCAATTCCCCTAAAACCAAAACAAAACAGAAAACTTCGCAGTCGAAAGCAGCAACATTCAACATTTTTATCCAAACAATGTGGAAAACCTAGGGCTTTACAGAAATGATAAAAAAGGAAAATACACTCTCAGGGACAGTTTGGTTGAAATTAATACGAAAAAAACGCATGACGGATTTAAACTAACGGAGATTAAGGTCGGAAAGTAGTACCATTGTTGGGGTCGGTGGAGGAGCAAAGCCAGGGAGGAGGGGCGATTCCGTCTATTAGGCATTTGGAGGCGAGGTTTTGCTCGAAGAGTAAAGTCTGCTGCTTTGCTTGGTTAACAATCCATTTCTTCCGCTCGAAGATCTGCACCAACAGCTTCTCCATCGTCGCCGATTTCAAACTTCGACCATGGATTCAGATTCACCGAGTTGCAGAAAGAGCTAGAGAGAGAGAGAGGAGAGAGAGGAGAGAGAGGAGAGAGGGAGATGGGTGTTTTTAGCGCGGCTTGGTTTTCAAATTTTCTATAACAAGTGGTCCACCAAGCCCAATAAAAAGTACCCAAAACCCAAGCCCACGACCCGCCTCCGAACCCGCTCCCGGGTGCTCCGTCTTCTTCCCCAAACCCCAACTCTCTCTCTCTGTTCGACTGTCAACCAAAACCCTAAAGCCCTCCTATTCCCGGACAAGGCTTCTCTATCTCTGCAACCAAACACCACTCTCCGGTCTCATTTATCTGTCCACATCCAATGCCGCCGAACGACGGCGTTGGGTTCACTTCGTCTCCCTCCGCCAAAGTCCCACGCCCTCCCAAACATCGACACGTGGACCTTCCATTTCTGTTCGCCAGAACCAGAAACTCGTTTGCCCAACTCATCAACTCGCTCAGGACTCGTTCGTCTTGCCCAAAGTTCCCACCTTTGCCTATTCTCTGCTCGGCGTCGCTGTCACTGAGTCGGGGGTCTCCCGAATCAGCGGAGTCCGAGTTGCGGAACCGGAATGCGGACCGGAGCCAGTTCGTCGGGAAGTCGCCGCTTTTATGCTCGGCGTCGCTGTCTCTGGCTCGGCCGGACGAGACGACTCAGTCGCAGCAGAAGGGACACTCGTCGAGTCGGCACGATGAGGAGAGGGTTCTGATAAGCGAGGTGCTGGTGAGGAACAAGGACGGGGAGGAGCTGGAGAGGAAGGACCTCGAAATGGAGGCTTTGGCGGCTCTCAAGGCGTGCCGAGCGAACTCGGCGCTTACTGTGCGGGAGGTCCAGGAGGACGTGCATAGGATCATCGATAGCGGATATTTCTGCTCTTGCATGCCCGTTGCGGTCGATACAAGGGACGGCATCAGATTGATCTTTCAGGTATCCACATTGTATCTGCATTGTTGTGGAATTGAATTTAGTTATCTGTTTTTCGTTTTCGATTCTAGTGAAGAACTTTGACAAGCATTAGTCTTTATTAATCGCATTGGTTTTGCATTCACCTTTTTCGTCAAATTTATGTTCTTTTAGTTGTGTTTATGATATTATGCTAATTATCAAGCTGCGCATGCAATGTTGTATTATGGTTTAGGGTTGAATCTGTATGTCCCATGATCATTTCACTTTTTCCTTAGAATCCGCGTCTTTAAACTAAACGAGTGATTTGGCTGCTCCAAGAAAGAAAATTGAAAATAGAGAGTTAGCAGTCATCGATTTGTGTAATTGTTTCGTAGGTGATAAAAACTCGGGTCATAATAATGTATCGAAACATGTTTCCTATTGGACGTAAGCATGACTGATAGTATATATTCTTCGACTGGAGCTAGGTAAAACCAAACCAGGAATTTCAAGGGCTAGTATGTGAAGGAGCAAATGTTCTTCCAGCAAAGTTTCTGAAGGATGCATTCTGTGATGGATATGGTTGGTTTTTCTTCATTGCTCTTACATGGTTACGGGTGTGTGTGTGTGTGTGCATGCATATGTTATTGAAAGATCATTTGCACCTCTCTGGTGGTGCCACTTTCATGACATGAGAGGCCTATATTGATTTTCGGTTTTGGTGTCAAGTTGTGCAGGAAAAGTTATTAATCTTAAGCGTTTGAATGAAGTAATATCTTCCATCAATGATTGGTACATGGACCGGGGACTTTTTGCCATGGTGGGTTACACTCTTATGAATTTTTCTTTATAATTTCAAAATGTATAAAGTTGTAATTAATTTTTCTAGTGCTATAGATTGTAGAATTGGTTCAGTGTAGGATTCTACTGCCCCTTATTTGCAATCAAGTTATTTTCTTAATAGTATATAATTTTTCTCTCAATTACATTTTAGGTTTCAGCTGTTGAGATTCTCTCGGGTGGTATTCTTAAGTTACAAGTATCAGAAACTGAGGTCAATAACATCTCCATACGATTCCTTGACAGGAAGACGTAAGTTCCTGCCTTAATTGAGTTTTCATTTTGCAGATAAACTTGAAATTAGAAGTTTCATGGAAAGGTGGCAACTACAGCATTTCTTCACTAATTTTACTTTTCTCTTTTTAGGGGTGAACCAACCATAGGGAAGACAAAGCCCGAAACGATACTTCGCCAACTTACTACCAAGAAGGGCCAGGTACTGTTGCATACACACAGCAATAAATTTTAGTTGATATTCAGGAACACTGTGTTTACATTCGGGATTTCCTATGTAGGTCTACAGTATGCTACAGGGAAAAAGAGATGTGGAGACTGTATTGACTATGGGACTCATGGAAGATGTTAGCATCATACCCCAACCAGCAGGTGGAAAAGAAAATTTCAGTTTTATTATTTTTAGGCAAATAATTTTGTTTGAAATTATATTTCAGAATGTTAGGTTATTTTCAATTTTCATAATAGTCAGCACCTAAGAATGTTGCTTATGCGGAAACTTATGAAATCAAATATTTACAAATAGAAACATTATCTGGTGCATAATATTATAATAATTTTCTGGTGTTGTGAATTCTGTGATGTAGACTTGTATACACTGATGGAGTACCCTGCAGTCTTAGATAGGGGTTAATGTTCAACACACCCATTAGTTTTCTCTCGGCAAGTGGAACTTTTCTGTTAGTGAGGGATAGCAGTCTACTGTGATTGTCCTCATTTTGGTAGGATTCTGGTAGCCTTGAATCCTAATAGTTACATCAATATGGTCATCCATGGTAGACTGCTCTCTGAGCTTTCAACCCTTTATAGGATTAATGATGTCCAACATTGGCATTTATGCTTATGGCCCTATCTGTATCTGTAGAAATGATGCTAATTATATATACATGTTTGTGTGATGATATTGATCGTAATTGAATGCTTTAAATAATGAAAAATTGTAGATGCTGGTAAGGTTGATATCACAATGAATGTTGTTGAGCGGCCAAGTGGAGGGTTTTCTGCTGGTGGTGGTATATCAAGTGGGTAAGTCAAATTACTGGAAAATACAAATTGTAATCTTTGAGTTTATGTTTCAGATATTGTGGTACAAAATTTTTAACTTCTATTCTTTAATTTCAGAATTACAAGCGGCCCTCTATCAGGACTCATTGGAAGGTAATCTTACTGCACATGTAGTTTTCCAGTTTTAGATGCTTCGCTCTATTCCTTTCTCCAGTTTACATGCTTCATTCTTTTACTGTTCCCCAGTTTGCATGCTTTCTTCTTTTTCAGTTCCCCAGTTTCCATGCTTAATATTGACGACATAGTCAGATGAGTTATTCATGATGTTATGTGTGTGCATTAAGTATATTCATTTTTGGGTTGATTATGTGTTTGGCAAATTAAATGTGGGCTGATTAGATTCTGATTTGACTTTAATCAGAAATTGATAATTATCTAGTTTTGTGCCTTTATGGATTGGAACAAAGCATGTCAAGCTTCTGGACCATTTGCATCAGTCTGAAATCCTTTTGTTGACAGACTTTGACATAGGGAAGAGCCTGGCTTTCTGAAACTTAAAATGGTAAATATGTAGGTGAACAAAAATTTTAGACTGATACTCGAAGGGAGTACCTGTACGAGATTATGTAGCATCAGAGCTTACTAAAACTGGTTACGATAATTAACCCTTGCAAGTTGATAGTAATACAGCTGTGTGAGTATTTAACAATTTGCATTGTAACATTTAAATACTTAGATTGTCAGGGTACTAACAATCCTAACTGTTTAACAGTGGTGGTGTTAAATTTTTAACGTATAGATCTCCTCATATGCATTTATATTATTTGCTTTCGCAAAAATATTTATTCAATTATCTGATATCTAATTTTTCAAAAGAACAAGGAAATGCTAATCTATTACTATCAATGTTGCGAGTGTCATATAGTTCTGCATATACCTAAAGACATACATGTGTCCCTGCACAAGTAGTGTTTGCTTTGCCCAAGTCAGCTAGTGTTCCACTCGGTTTTTGAAATTTTAAGACTAAATCATTACAGTTTCCCATAAGTTTTTTGTTTTTCTTGCAGCTTTGCATATTCTCATAGGAATCTCTTTGGAAGAAACCAAAAGCTACATGTTTCTTTAGAGAGGGGCCAGATAGACTCAATTTTTCGCATAAACTACTCAGATCCATGGATTGCGGGAGATGATAAGCGGACGTCCAGGACCATAATGGTTCAGGTAGTTTAATGTTATTTTGTATCAACTATTATCATATGTTCCTTCTAACTACTTCAAAATTCTCGATGCTTAGACCCTTGACTGATTCTTCTTCTGCTAGAATTCCAGAACCCCTGGAACACTCATCCATAACCAACTAGATGGTAGTAAGTTGACCATTGCTCGCATCACAGCAGGTATCGAGTACAGCCGACCAATAAGACCAAAGTTGAGTGGAACAGCTGGGCTTATCTTTCAGGTACTTGTGGTTTTATCATCGCCCCTGTGGTTAGGTTTTCTGGATTTGCTTGGATACCTTTTAATACTGGGTGGTTGTCACTTGTAGGGTTCCTTATAAGATTATGTTGACATGATTGTGTTTTATTTATACTTACAACTGCCATATTCTGGACTATTGTTCCAGCATGCTGGTGCTCATGATGAGAAAGGAAATCCTATTATCAAGGATTTCTATGGCAGTCCTCTAACTGCAAGGTACGTGAGTCTCAAATCAGATAATACCAAACTAATTCAGTTTGGTTTCTTTTCTCGGTACAAATTTAGTTTGGTTGCCATATCTTAGTATAGATTTTTCTGTGATCCATACTTCTAATCTTCTAGCTCTTTGTTTACCATTTCTCTGTTGTAGTGGCAATACCCATGATGATGTGCTACTTGCTAAACTTGAGAGTGTCTACACGGGTTCTGGTGACCGTGGGTCGTCAATGGTTAGTCAACCTGAGTGTGTTCACAATTGTAACCCCCACAATTCCTTTTTCTGATCGTCCACTGTATTTTGATACTCATTTTTGGGTCCTTTTGCAGTGTGTATTCAACATGGAACAAGGACTTCCTGTTTTGCCTGAATGGTTGTATTTCAACAGAATAAATGCTCGTGCGAGGAAAGACGTTGAACTTGGCCCTACCCGTGTTCTTGCAAGGTATGACCAATCTGTATTTGTAGACAGTTGGAGCAATCTAATCACAAAACATATCTTTCCCCCAATCCTCCCCACCTCACTATTGTAATTGTAGCTTTGAATTCAAGCTAATGATACTCTCATTTGGTTTTTGACTTTGATATGCTTTGCCCTGCTAGTTTGTCTGGTGGCCATGTGGTTGGTAACTTCCCACCGCATGAAGCATTTGCGATCGGTGGAACAAATAGTGTAAGAGGTTACGAAGAAGGTGCTGTGGGCTCTGGTAGATCTTATGCA